AGCGGACTAAGCCATTGTCTGACCTTTTGAAAAAGGTTGTAGAATGGACTTGGTCAAAGGAGCAAGAAGATGCGTTCACTTCAGTGAAGCAATCTCTTGTAGAGGCACCGGTCTTGGAATTTTAAGACGCGGATAAGCCCTTTAGCGTCGTCTGCAATGCAAGCAATTGTGCAATCGGCAGCGCGCTCATGCAAAAGGATAACAGCGGCGTTGACCGTGTCATATCTTATCAGTCTCGGCTTTTGAAAGACGCAGAGCTGAATTACCCTGTGCATGACAGAGAGCTACTTTCAATTAAGTATGCCCTTGTAAAGTTTCGGGTGCACCTCTTGGGCACCGAACCTTTTGTGGTTTATACGGATCACGCATCACTGCGGACACTATAAATTCACCGCACCTCTCGCCGAGAATGGCGAGATGGCTGGCATTCTTCTCTGAATTTATTTAAAAGTTGAATATAAGCCGGGTAAGTCGAATGTCTTGGCTGACGCGTTATCGCGCAGGTCAGACTTCGAGGCAAGACACCAAGATAGTGTGTCTCGTGCGAAAGCACAAGTTGAGTCGTCAATATTGGCAGCCATGAAGGCCTACCATGTGACGAGCTCAATGGCCTCCGATATAAAGGAGTGTTACAGTCAGGACGAACATTGTCGCCTGTTGTTGGATCATTATGGTGGACGAAAGGGTACCTTTCAGTCGCACCTCAAAGCAAAACTAAATCGCTTTAGTTACAGTGATGGCCTGTTATGGAATCAACTGTCACCCTGTGATCCCTTGAGAATCTATGTCCCTCATGTCACAGATCTCAAGCTGATGATACTTCACGAGTGCCATGATGCGCCATCTAGTGGGCATCTGGGCCGTAAAAAGACATTCTTACGAGTGCCAGAGGAATTTTGGTGGCCCCACCTATATCGGTGGGTGGCCAACTATATTCGCTCTTGCGAAGAGTGTCAGCGCATAAAGCCTGCAGCTTCTAACAGTGCGCCACTGGAGCCACTGCCGATTCCTACTGAATGTTGGAAGTCGGCCAGTTTGGACTTTATGTTTGGCTTACCGCCTGACCATAAAGGCAGGACGGGGCTCGTCGTCTTTGTAGACAGACTGAGCAAGATGGTGCATTTGGTACCATGTAGCACCAAGATCTCAGGAAAAGAGGCTGCCCTCTTGTTTCTGGATCACGTGTATCGACTACACGGGATGCCCGAGTCCATAGTATCGGACCGGGATCCGCTTTACGTCAGATTTTTGGCGACATGTGTTTGAGTTGCTAGGTAGCAAACCCCACATGTCAACCGCTGATCATCCCCAGACCGATGGCCAAACAGAACAGGCCAATCGAGTCGTGGCGGATGTGTTGCGTAAATTATCGACTCCCAAAGAATGGAGCAAGCAATTTCCATTCGTGGACTTCGCTATTAATAACAGTGTTTACGCCAGTACGGGTGAAACACCGTTTTATATTAACGGACTGCGTCATTCTCGAACGCCAGTCTCGTTTGTACGCAGCCCGAGTCTTAGTGGAGGAGGGACCCTCACTTCGCTCGGTGCGAATGCCAAAGAGGGCCAAGGTTGCCCTAGTGAAACTGCTCATTTAGCAGTGGTCACGAAACCTATAGGTGTCACAGACGAGGCACGGCAAGAAATGCCAGTGCTCCTTAGCGATGACACTATCGTGTTATCAACAGATTCGACCCATGAACGACCTCTTGGAGGCGTCATAGGCGAGCTGGATGGTAAAAGCGTGAACGAAGCTCAGCGCTTTGTGGATGAGCAATCAGCCACCGCACGTTAAGTCCTTGACGTGATTGCAAGCGCACAGGGCAAGCAAAACAATATGCAGACCAGCATGGTTGCAAAAACAATGAACACTCAAGTGTGGGGGACAAAGTACTGCTACCCTACCTAAACATGCAATTTCTGTACTACCTGGTGGTACTACTAAGCTATTGCCCCGATTCATTGGGCCCTTTACAGTGGTTGAAGAAGTTGGAGACCTACATTATTGGCTCACTCTCCCACCGTATACGAAGACGCACCCCGTATTATATGTGGGTCGTCTGAAACGATATGTTGATCCAGAAGAGATCACATATCCACATCGGTCTAACGAGACCGATGGTGACGCCATTTGTGAGTCGAGCGTCGCGGACGATCAGGCGACGAGGAAGCCGAGAGGCTCCCCGTATACGAACGAGGTCTCGGTAGAGGACACGGTGGACGAGGAGTACTTCGCGCTTGACGCGGGTCTCTCATCACCAGTCGCTCTAAAAGATCCAACCGAGGCTTCAGGCGGTCATACCCCTGACGGTCCCTCGTCCTCATATCGCGCATATCCAAAGTCAGTCGGGAGACTTGACTCTCGAGATCAGTCACCTGCTTCTTCAGCGCAGCGGTCTCATCCTGCCACTGAACAGCAGCAGGTTAGGCAGCCGCGAGTAGGTGGGCATAATCGCCACTCCTATCGGGAACCATGGGACGCGGAAGGTAACACGCGCTTCCTTGTTGGAAGGCTGTTGGCCCACCGTTTTGTGAAGCGAAAGCTCCAAATCCTCGTCCATTGGAAGGGTTACCCAGCGATCTTTAATTCATGGGAGTTGTTGACTCTTTGCGCGTCGACGTGCCTGGGCTGGTGGCTGCTTATGTGAAGCAGCACCAGCTGACGTCTTTCTGCTAGGTCCGGAAGGACTAGCAGAAGAAGCGTAGCGAGAATCACTTGGGGGTCGCTTACCACCCAAGATTTCATTTGCACGCGTCACGGCTGATTCACTGCGACCGCTGTTTCGTTGCATCTTCATGCAAGGTAACACGGCGCCGAAGTTCGGCTTCATAGTCGTCGGCTGTTTCGTTAGAACGCAGCACGACTGGAATTAGGAAAGCACGACCAAGTGCTTTGCCCTGCTTTTTCCACACGGGAAAGAAGCTATAAAATTTATGGGCGTCTATAGTGGCACGCTGCAAAAGCGCTGCACTAGACCCATCCGAGTTCATCCACTCAGATGGAGGTGGCATTGGTGGCAAGCCACCACCCACGTAGCCTCCCTCGCGACGGCGGGCTAGCGAGGCCAAAGGTGTACTCGGTGGAGCTTTGAGCTTACACTCACCTCAGTCTGGCTCTCCTTTATGGATTGTCAAGACATCAGCCTGAGGAGTCACATCAAATTGAGTTGCGACTGCTCCTTTTGAAGTAGCGTGCTCAGCCTTAGTCGCTGCGCTCGAAGGCACAGGCGACGAGGCCTTACCTTCGCTTGCAGGAAGCACAGACGCTCCCTCAAGGACGGATACCTCAAATGTTGGGGACATATGTCCCATCAACGCGCTTTGATTATCTCCACTTTGGGGTGATCGCAATGGCGTGCTCTCATTGTAGTCTACAATGAGAAGTGAATCTTCATCCACATTTCCCTCGAATTTCATGATATTAAAGGAAAATCTTTACGTAAACGACAGTGAGATGAAAAATTCGTTTCAGTGCCTGAAGCACTTTGCGACGGCTGCGAATCATCGTGGCGCGTGCGCTTAGTGCTGGAATGCATGGGCACCTTGCAGGCGGCCCATCAGCCTTACCACGTTTCGGTGGCATGAGAATTGAGTAGACTAAGCGGCGCGTTTTACAAATCACTCTGTCTCCTAGGCGATGTTTTACAAAATGTAAAAATCGTTCTAAAAGAGGGGATGGTGTAACAGGGTATCTAGTTACACGTAAACATTAGGTAATATACTTTATGTAAGGTCTAAAACTATCCATAATTACTTTTGGCCTGTCACTTGGGTGCGATACACAAACGTGATCCACCCTCGTGAATGTGATAGCTATTGATGGATTGACATGGGAAGGGATGGCGCTAGTTGAAGCTAGGCATCGCGACGTCTCAGAAGGACGTCATTCGCAAACTTAAATCTAGATTTAAACATATGCGTCAGGATACGCTTCTAAAGAGTCGCGTATCCGATCTATATATATAGCCAATTAGTAGTTAGCTTTTATATTTAATTATAATTCATTTAGTATAGCTCATTCTTGAATTTTTCTAACACTTAAGCAACACGCACGAGAAGCTGAGTAAGCTTCTGCGTGAAGTCGGTGTCTTCTTGTTAAGAAGTTCGTTGCACTCTCGCTAAAGCGAGAGGCAACTAGTGGTACGACTGCTTAAGCAGTCGACCAACCGCATAACCACCCTCGCACGCGAAGGTAAGACGGTCTAACCGCTTCCTCGCTTGTGCTGAAGGTGTATGCTAGTAGCACGAGGCAACTTCGTAGAAGTGCCCGTCTACAATGTAAGTGTCAGATGGCACCCGTCTTACCTGCCCATCCCGCTCGGTGGGGTCATAATGCAGTCGTATACCTGCCCATCTTGTAATGGGGCACCCTCCGACTATACTGATTATAGTATAGTCTACTTACTGATTACAGTGAAAGCAGTTGCCTTCTTTAACTCTCTTACACAAGAGGCAGAGGAAGTCAAACAACTAAACAAACGCTTAGAAGTAGAGGAAAAGAAAACTGTATTTAATATAGTTAACTATCTTCATAAAACTAATCTGTTATTACCTATGTTAACTATATTAAACTACAACTTTGTATGTTGACCACTCATTGCGCGCGTTCGTCGGTCATTGGTCAGCGCGTTGGTTGATATGATGGCCCGTATCAACCAATGAGAGGGCATCTCCAACTTTATAGGAGATCTAGGAACAATATTATAAGAAAAGATAATATCGTCAGATATTATTAGTTATAATAATATTTTTATTGACACTTCATATAAGTGTCAATATTATGTAACGGGCTCACCTCGTTACACATCTCGTTCGGTGATCCGATATTGCAGCCGTATCGCCTTGTCCCAACTGTCCAGTTGGTGCTTGACTGTGTTATCCACATAAAATGTTTATTACCCACAATGATACATAGCCAGTCATTGGTCGAAGGTCGCGCTTTTTTTTCTTTTCTTTTTCTTTTTTCACGCATCCCTGCCACAATCAAGATCACTTCAATGATGACAGAAGACAACACGTCAGGAACCAATTGCTGTCTATATAAGCGTAGGACCGCTTTCGTGACCGTCGCGCTCTGTGGTCTGGTTGGTTTTGTACTAGTAGCTGTCTTGGAGCTGCCGTGGAAAGTCAAGAGGACCATGCATTTCGGCGACATCGCTAATAGGCTGATTACGACCAAGAACATATCCGACGTGCCTGATAGGCTGATCCCTACCAAGGAAGCTGATAACCTATTTTTAACCACGAGTGCTAGTAGACTGCTTCCAATCAAGGACCTTGTCGAAGTCAAGGAGTTTGAGTTAAAGACATATCCTCCATTAATTGAAGATGGTGGAGATCTCGTCGTATCGTGGGAGAGAAACAACGCGATGACCTTGACAGATCACGATTGCGTGACGCTGAGCTGCGGTCCAACGACGGGTAAAGGAGACTATCTTTATAATAAGACGGTACGTGTGTCCGACCTTTCGGTCAGATTCTCGTCGCTCTACATGATGCGCTGCAATTACACGGCGATCTACTATAATTACGAGGAGATGTCGGGCAAACATAAGGCCATTGCAAAGGTGGAAGCAAGAATGAAGGAGCCGCCGGAGACACCCAAGCATGGTCACTTGAGTTTCACGGACGATGAGAAGGCGATGGCAATTATGTTTAATTCAGGGACTTCAAAAACACCTATGGTTAAGTATGGGATGAAGCCGGAAGATCTCAAGTTTTATGCAACGGGGACGTCCACGACCTACGGCGCCGATGACATGTGAGTGTTGATATTTGTTTGGAGTGGGAGAGAATGTGATGTCTTTTGATACTAAAGCGGATGGTATAGGTGTCAAGCTCATGCGAACACTGTTGCACAGTCACATTTCCGTGATCCGGGCTACATGCACACAGTTATCATGACTGATTTGAAGCCCAATACCTACTACTTCTATCAGTACGGACACGAAGAGCACGGACTGAGCAAGGTGCATCGATTCAAGTCACGACCTTTGAGTAGCTATAAATATGCAAGCTTCATTGCATATGGAGACATGGGAGCGTTCGCAGCGCCTTATGGTGGTTCAGAGTCTACTGCTGCTAGAGTTTTTAAGGATGTGATTGAAGGGGAATACGATTCGTTTTTGCTGCACTTTGGCGATATCAGGTACGAAAAAGCAAGCACTCTTGTTGCATAACGTTGCTAAAACGGCTATTCTACCCGTTAATGTTGATGACCGTTCTCTAGTTATGCTCAATCCCAGGGCCACGTCTGGGATAAATTCTTCCATTTGATCGAGCCGTACGCAACCATAGTGTGCGTCTTGAAGTTGGCGGTGGCGTTTATTTTTTGTGATGAATACTTACTGATTCATCGTGTATACTTGCTTGTACATACGACTGCTATAGGCCGTACATGGTGGGCATTGGAAACCGTAAGTGTTATGTGTCCTTGTGCTCCTACAGATTGTGCTACTGATTTTGTGCGGTTGTGGGACCTGCTTGTGCAGATGAATATGCTACACCGAAGGCGGAAAGCATGACCTCAGCGGAGGTATGCTACCATATGGAGGCAGCTTTAACCCTTCGTGGGGAAATTTCCATACCGATTCTGGAGGAGAATGTGGAGTGCCTATGCATCACCGGTGGCACGGTAAGTTGTCTTTCTTTTCTTGCTTGTGGTGCGATACGATGCTTAACATTTTATGTGGATCTGATAGTCCCTAAGACAGGAAATTGGATTTACTGGTACAGCTTCAATTACGGGGGCATTCATGTAGTTCAAATGTCGACCGAGCACAACTGGACCAGAGGATCTGAGCAATACAAGTGGCTTGAGAACGATTTAGAACAAGTGGATCGTAATGTTACACCATGGGTGGTGCTAACAGCGCATCGCATGATGGTACGGCATCTTGGATCATACTCTGGCGGATTATCGGCTAATGTTTGTTTTTATTTTCAGTACTCGAGCCAGTTGAACATTGAGCCCGATATGGAAGTTTCCTATCATTTTCAAGAAGAAGTTGAAGATTTGATTTACAAGCATCGCGTTAACGTAATGTTGGTACGTTCATTTGTTGCTGTAGGCCGTCGAGATAAACTTTGCGCTAAGCGTTTTTATAATTAGGTCGGCCATGAGCATTCCTACGAACGTACCTGTCCCGTGTATCGCAAGAAGTGTGTGGAAAACGGAAAGAGCACAGTCCATCTTGTTGTGGGATCCGCTGGATTTCCCCTGGGGCCAGATGGATTTTCTTCAAAATACGGGAACTACAGTCTTCGTCACGTGAATGAGTACGGATATATTCGCGTCACTTCGAGTCCAAACGACATGCGCTTCCAGTTTGTGCTCGTCGAGAACGGTAACATTTACGATGAGTTTACCATCACGCCCTGGGAGGACTCGTAGACGATCCTGGGTTGCTGGATGCATGATCGTCGGCTGCTTATTGTAGGCATTTCACTGTGCTTGGCAATGTAGAAAGCTTGTAAGCGATTTAATATTTGTTGTCCATCGTGAACTAGATGAGACTTTGTGCCAACCTTTCCACAGTGTCAGCTGTAAATAAAGAAGTAGTCTCAGCGTCGCAAGCACACCATTAACTTGAAAACGAGCGATAGGGCTCAAGACAGAACTCCGTAAGACCAAGAAAAGTTCAGAGCCAAAGAGCTGCATGAATTATAGAAAGGCGTCCACGTGGACCACCTGTCTGTGAAGACTGGATTAAACTATAATGACGTTCCCTCAAGTTCTGCTGGTCAATTTGAGTCCTTATTGTCAGCGTCGCTCTGCTTCTGTGCTGCTGCACTTTCCGCCCGTCGGTCGATGTTGCGCTTCACCAACACGCTGAAGCCTCGCGTTACATCGACAAGCGAAAAGACTGTGGCTAGGATTAGGCCACCCGTCACCGTCTTGTGCAAAATGTCTGCAACCTTGTTTGAGCCGGACATAGTGTCTATAGTTTGGGTGGTCTATCGGTCTGATTGAAACGTGTGGTACATCTGTATATACTGAAATAACTCGTATAAGTGCGAGATTTCCAGAATTTGCTGTGGTTACTGATACAACAATTAAAACAGTTGTTGGAACGGTGTTGTTTTAAAACAAAGATCTCCTTAAAGTTGAAGATGCCCTCTAATTGGTTAATGTAGGCCATTATATCAACCAAGGCGCTGGCCAATGACCAATGGACGCGCGGAAAGAATGAAGGTATATTGTCAACATACATAGTTGTAGTTAAGACAAGGTTATTGATGACTTAGTTTTATTAGATAGTTTTGTGGTGAAGTGCTATTTTGCGATATGGGGACCCCAGAATTCAGCTGAATTCGGGGTATAGACCGTGGGTCAGGGACAGGAGACCAGAGAGACAGGGGCCTCGAAGGGGAGCGACCGTTGGCGGAGAACAATCTGCAGGACCCACATAAGAAAAATCAGTATCAGGGTACTGGTTAACCGGTACCGAAGGGAGTTGACCATGGCCCTTCATCGGTCGACCCGGTCCCTCGTTGGTAGATCTGGGGACCCTCACTGGTCGACCTCGGCCCCCTTATTGGTAGACCTGGGTCCCTTATTGGTAGACCTGGGTCCCTCATCAGTCGACCTCGGCCCCTAGGGGTTTAGCTACTCCTGACCAGTTAATACAAGGATCAGACCAGTCGACGCAAGGAATCAGAGCTTCAGGCAAGGATAGAGTAAAGGAATTAAAAGGATAGGACTATATTAAATACTACTCAATTTGCGATCTACGTGGCACGACTCCGTCACCCAAGAAGGACTTGTTCTAAGTTACTCACTGTTCCGGGAAGGGATATATTTGGCTCCCCCCCCCCCGTCGAAGACAGTTGCGTAGCGAAGTTCAAGGGCGAATAGAGCTCCAGGATGTATTTGGCCTGTGAGCTCGTTCGAGTAGCAACACCCACCCCCCAAGACCCGCTATCGGAAGCGGTCTCCCTCACCTCAAGGCCCGGGAGCAACGTAAAGGTCAGGTGGTTAATACCCCTGAAACAGAAGGAAAAGGCCAGAGATAAGTTCCCTGAAGAATTTGGCTCTAAGTCTACTCTCGACAAGGTCGATCGAGTGGCCACCTACCGGCCCACCGAGTGAAGCATATCCACTCGAGGCCCCCCAGGTCTACCTCCCTCAAGGCAGACATCTACATCGTCACCAAGTCCTCCGAAGAGTGCAACCCGCCAGCCGACGGGTACAAAAGGTGAGGGAAGGTTCATACGCGGCATCGGGGTACCCCCTCCGACAGTCGGCAGTCCGGCACAGTGAGTGGTTTGGGGTCTCATCATACAATTTTGAGAAATCACTCCACCACAATGATGCGCGTGCCCGGATCTTTGGAAGACGCGGGATTTCACCGCGAGTCCCAAGACGATAACGATGTTCATGTCAAGAAGGAGCACAAGACCGAAGAGTCACTGGAAGACCGATCGCCAGTGACTCAAGAAGAAGAAACAAAGGATCGAAGGACCGACCGGGCCTTGGGAGGGGCCCGGTCAACATGGTCGAGGTTGAATTTATTGAAGAGAAGCCTAAATACCCTCCCTATGTCCTCGTAGAGGACACCTTGGGTCATGATGCCTATCATGATCCAGAGGACCATCAGCCGACGGTGAAAACCGAGAGGCTAAGGTCCCCGAACAAACCAAAAACAAAGATCGCGCAATCCAAGCCGACAAAGTTCCGGATGAAGGCGCCCGGAAACACCTAGTCGATAGGCCCCGAGAAGTAAGGACTGGCATCATGGTCAGACGCTGACGTCACGAGGGCCTACCACCAACGCAAGCTGAACGCGTTCCTGGAGAGCGACCCCGTCGCGAAGACCCTGGAGATCCGGCAGCTGGGTCAACTTACTGGGCCGGTGTCGACCCTACCACGGCTGCAATCCGTCACGGACGCGATCACAGCGCTGGTCACCCTTCTTCGTGAAGCGAACATGGTCGCAGGGTGGTTCGACCCGGACGATCTGCTATCCCTGGGATTCGATAGAATCACAACAACGTTAGAGCACATGCACAAGCGTCTGTCGATCCTGGTGGATACCACACCAGCAACGGAACACCCACCTCTGGTGACACCTACACACAAGCGGTCCAACGACAGCCAGATGACGCTTCAAGACATCACGGTGTGTCCCCACATGTACGGAGCCGCCGGCCACCCAGGGGCGAATCAAGGCCCATCTCAACACCGGATGCCAAGCGGCCAGAAGGAAGCATCACCGTGGTCCCAGGATCGTCCTCAACTGGGTCGGTCACTAGGATGCCCCTAGGACCTACTGGAGCGGCGCTGCTCCAGGCCCGAGCGCGCAGCGCGGAGCAGGAACCACGTGGTCTCGAAATGGCGACGCGTGGCAAGAATGAAAATCATTCCGTTTTTCAACCAATGGAAAATCAGCAAGGGAAAAAGTTAGAATTTGCTCTGCCCCGTGACGAAGATGCTGGGGGGAAGGACCTACCTACCCGGTAGGTGATCTGCAGACCCTCTTCGACGCGGCGATGGCAAGATTTTTGAATGAACGCCAAGTACCGCGGGCACACCCTAACGGGAATATAGCAGGAGGAAGACCAGAGGCGCAAAGGACGACCGCTCACCATGACCAGCATCCAGGCATACAAATGCCAAGAGGCCACACGATGACCGACGTCGATATGGAATCCGTCGGTTTCTGTGAGTTCGACCCTGACAACATGGATTTGAGGGGACCTCAAATGTCGAACGCAGCGCTGGGACAGATGCCAAATATGGTCCCTCGCATCAAATTCTCGGCGACCTCGGACCTTAAAAAATTTCATGGAAGAGACCAAGACGAAGACAGAGCGCGCAGCTGGGTATCAACGGTCAAGACAGCATTCATAAGAGACCAAGCACCAGATGATGAACGATGTCTCGTTTTTGGAGGATTGCTGACTGGACCGGCACAGAATTGGTACCGTCAACTGGGTCGCTCAGTCCGAGGAAACTGGAAGGACTTAATCCAAGAATTCATAATTCGGTTCTGTGGCACGGGGGTACCGGTCGCCCGCCAGTACTACCATGCGAAGAAAAGGTCGGAAGAGACCCCACTGGATTATCTGTACCGCCTGAATGTGCTTGGACTCAGGGCGAAGATGAAGATTAAGGATGGGTCGCCCAAGGTTCAGAAGGATCATGTCGATCATTACATTTTGACGGTGGACGACCCGGAGCTAGCAGAAAAGTTGACTATGTTGCGTCTGGCGGATGTGGAAGAATTGGAAGAAGTATTAACAGCATGTCAGCGGACGAAGGCACGACGAGGCAAGATGTTGTTTGGATCAAACAAGTTTCGTCAGAAAGCACCGGCACTACCAGAGAGCCGAGAGATATGAATCGCCGCTCCATACATGCAGTACGGGCGCCCCTTGAAGACTCGAGCTCTGAAGATTCCAGCCCAGATTCTTCAGAGAACGAAGGAGATCTAAGGCGAGTCTACCTTATGGAGAAGGAAGCAGGAAGGGACCCAAGTGTGCGGTTCTCAAAGAATCTACCGACTAGAGAGGCCGACCAACATCGCCAGGCAGTAGACCAGCGACCCGGTCCATCATCAGCGACCCCTAACACGAGATGTGCATATTGCGGGTCCAAGAAACATGGAGATCTGAATTGCTGGAAAAGATTGACCTGCGACCGCTGTGGAAGGAAGGGTCACCCATCAGATCGCTGCCTGTTTGTATGCCGGGGTTGTGGAGAGATTCTCGAGATTGGGAAGTGCCAGATGGAGGAGTTCTACAATTTGTTCCGTCAATGGTACAACCCGGCCAAGCATGCAGGGATGTTCCCGGAGAAACTCGAGAAGATGGCAAATTAGGAAGCTCGCCAGGTTAGAATCTGGTACGAGCCGAGCGTTCTAATTGTTGCATCTTTGCATATGTGGAAAAACAGCCCAAGGAGGAGATGGGTATGCCAGTTAAGATTGGAAATATATCGAAGATTGGAAATTACCCTGTGGTCCATGTTGCTTCTTTGAATGAACTTAATAATTTTGTTCGAGAAAGTTCAGTAATGGAGTTGGACTTATTGCCAGGCGAGTCTAGGGGGTACTGGAAATACCACGCCCCTACTAAATGGTTCAGGCAAGCGAAAGCTTCTGGAAAGGTCAACAACGACCATGCAAATTTGTTGTTTGATACTGGTGCCGAAATATCCATTCTGGATATCGCCTTTGCTCGTAAGGTAGGCTGCCAAATTGATGAAAGTGAACGACAAGAATGTATTGGTATTGGGGAAGCCGTATACACCACGGAGGGGCGCACTCGCATCAAGGTCACTCTGAATGGGAACTTGGTGTACATCTTTAAGGTGTGGGTAGGCCCTATAATAGGCCAAGATGCAATTTTGGGGATGGACTTCATGGTCCCAGCCGGTATCCGGTTAGACTT